AACAACAACGTCGATGATCGGGGTCTTTATGCTCCTGGCCAATTATGGCTAACGAAAAAGGACATTGTCGGGCGTGCTAGAGGGTTCCTTCCATATGTGGGAATAATAACGATATTTATGAATGAGTATCCTAAAGTTAAGGTAATGCTAATTAACAGATATTTTTATACTTTTGTTACTTTTAATGAAATATTTATGTTCCAGTGGGCAATATTATCGATCTTAGCAATATTTGTATTGTTACATCGCGAATAATATCCAGCCACGGGTCAAACAAATAGCTATAAGCAAAAGGGTACATTACCAGAAATCCAAAATATAAATTCGAAAAGCGTAAATAGCCACTGCAATCGCAAACATAACATCAACAGCAACAACAACAACAATAATACAAGAAACAGTAATCGCAGGAGGATATTCAGATTAAACAAGTAATATAAATACTAAACTCGGAGGTACGACTGGTAAAATTTAAAGTCTTACCAAAATAATGAAATGCTTTATGTGTATCTATTTTTCATCAAAAACTAAAAAGTAAAAACATTTAGATTCAATACTTCCTAATTTAAGCCATTTCATTTTACGTGCAACGAAATATTTCAAAACAAAATGTTCGGTTTGGATAAATCCGGTTTGCGAACCTTGTAACAAAAACAAAGCCCGGATATATAAAGCATTTTTAACTTATTATCTTAAGCAAATTAAATAAACTGTATAAGTAATTAAATAGTTTCGGGTGTATTTGCTATAAATATATGCAATTCATTGGCGAAAAAGAGATGCAAGTAGAAAATTTTATATTTTTTTAAAGTTTTTTTTTTGTTGTTTGTATTCAAAAATTTTTATTGAACTTGAGGCCATTTTCAATGCAAATTTTTGTGAAAAAACCACAATTTACATTCACCACATCTCATCGGACTTCTCCAACTGGCCAGCAGCCTACCCACAGCTAAGTTCGCCATGTTTTTTTTGTGTGTAAAACTTTCAGTTTATTTTTTGCGTTTGTTAATGACATTGGCTCTCTTGATTTCATTTCAATGGTTTCATCACATTTAAACTTCGCACACAAACAAATACAATAATAAAATGAAATTGGCTAGACTTCGCATTTCACGGTGATTTATTTATAAACTTAAAAGACAACTTCCACTGGCACGTTAGCACATTTGTCGGAATTAAATAAAAATTGAAAATAAACAAAAAAAGAAAATACAGTTTTATTGTTTGCAAAGTTAGGATATACGCTAAAATTGCGTATAAAAAGTGTACAACGCATTTCTAATTTGTGTTAGCTGGTACAAAAAAGCTACGTTAATCTAAACAATGAACTCTACCTAGCTACACACAGTGGCAATCAATTGCATTTTCATTTATTATGCAAGTGCATAGGTTTTATGAATAGGTATTAGTTGTTGTTGTTGTAGCAGCATACAAATTCCCCAAAGACTTTTTGGGGAGTGTTGCTGGAGTGACAGTCCTTGGCCAGATATAAATCTGGGTCGTTCCGGTTACGTAGACCCGACTGTCGTGGGAACGAATAGGTATTAGTCTTTTTGTTGGCTATAATTAAAAAAGTTTTGCGAGTTATCGTAAACGTTTTTATTATTATATTATTTTATGAAGCTTTGCAAAGTTTTTTTGCCAGCTTTATAACAAGTGTTTATATAATTTATTTATGTATTAGATTTTCGGTTTTTACCTCACTTCAAACTAAAATTGAGTTTTTAGTTCTTTCCCCAACTTTTATCTTCTGAACTTAAGACTAACTTCTATCACCCTTTTATCTCTTTTGTGAGCTTTAATCAAGTATGTGGCAGTATATACAGACACATGCTTCTTTTTGTTTTTTCTGGAACTGGAATGAAAAACTGTCGGCGTTTATTTGCGTTGCGAATTTTCCAACAAATTTTTGCCTTTGTATATTTCGTCTTTGTTTGCCAAATTCAACACAATGTTTTCAGCATTCATTGCTATCGCGTTTCTCCGCTTCAACATCGTTTAGATTACTTTTTGAACATAGTTTCCATCAAATTTTCGCCAGGTTGGTTTTTGGGCCGTGGTGATGGTGTCAATGAGCGGGTATGTGGCGCGAGTTCTTCCTTCTTGTGCACCGCGGAAGTTGCGGCACGTCGCTGGCGTATCTTTTCCTCCATCTTGCTGGGCACCATGAAGCAATTCGATTCGCGATAGATCGGCTTGCGACGATCGTTCCATGGGAACTCCCATTGGATAGGAGTGAAGTCGCGGCGCCAAGGTTTGCCTGCATAGAAGAAATATAATATAATAATTAATTAAATTAAAATAAGAAAGCATGTCTTGTCCTGACGTATTTCGTAAAACTTACGTGGCTTAAACCAAAAGTGGCACGTCCAGTCTTCTTCGCCATCGTCATCAATATCGCTAAAAAAAAAAAATAATACTAATTCTCATAATCACGTCCATTAATCATTCCTTACCCTCTAACATAAACCCGCACGTAACGCCTATTTTTTCGAAACAACTCCAATGCTTCATTGAAAGTCAGCTCCAACGCTAACGTGTCATTTATTTGTGTGATCTCATCGCCGATACGCATGCCAGCACTACGTGCCATACCAGTTGGTGTTACATTAATTATGGTTAACGGTTCGAATTGATCAACACCACCTGTCACTTCGATGCCCCAACGAGAATCGACGAAACTCATAATGCGGCGATCGGTCTCTACGGTGTACGTCATCTGGATCTGATATTCAACATTGTCGAAAGCATCCGACTCGTACTTAGGTAGCCTCTTTGAAACGCCCATGCTTTGAGAGATAATAAAAATTGATTATTTCCATAATTTGTTGAATGAATCCCAAAATATTTACCTGCTATTGTTTTTTTTTTTTAACTTTCAACACTCAGCTTCTTTGTGATCCAACAATTCTACCTATTCGACCGATTCCTCGTCTCTTTCCAATTGCTTCTGGCACTTTTGTCACTGCGTACGACACGGGCACGTCCTGACAATTATTCGACCAAAATTCAATTAACGGCTGCATCTGGGAGTGGGTGGTATTTATAGTAGATTGCAGTCGTTTAGATTTCACGGCCAATCGGTATTTACAACGTTTCAGGGTCGAAAGGTGCAGGTTCGATGGTACGTCATTAATTCGTAGCATTGTATGCAGTATTTTTATTTTGTATTTAGTCTGATTAGTTTTTTATTGCGGTAAAAATAGCAGGTCCACGACCATGTGCCGAGTGGGTTGCCAAAAAAACACATCGACATTTTAAAATCTAATTAAATAGTAATGGATATAATTAACCGGTGCATATTATAGCGAAAACTTAAATGAAAACATACTAATTTCCGAAAAATTTAATGAAAACATACTAATTTCCTGCTTTGTTTTTAAATGCAGCAGATGGCGAAGAGAGGTAGATCTTTTTGCTGCAGAAATGAATCTAGATGCTCTTGGAGCATTTCTGCTGCATCAAAAAGAAAATTTTGAAAAAATATGTCACGTTTTTTGTGCTCGATATACATATCGTTATCTTAATATAGAATCGTCCTTGAGATGCAAAGAAACCGTCGTTCCGGTTTCGTAAACCTGACTGGGGAAAAGTTTACAAGCTCAATTAGCTTCATTAAGTTATGTACATATTTCAGTTTATAATCATACATATACATATTCATAGCACACGGACCGATTCATATAACTTCTATATAGAAGGTGGGAATCGCTTATGTCCGATTGAAAAAAGCGATCAGTATCCGCATACATACATAAACACAGCGACAACAATATTGGTACAGACAATTTTTCAAAATATATGCAAAAAATTGTATTTAAATTTCTTCCGGCAAATTTTTTTTAATTTCATTTAAATTCCTTTCGGTTAATTTTTTACAAAAATACAGTTCACCGTACAACAAAAAACATAAAAATATACTTATATATGAAGTTTTTAAAATTTTTGCAAAACTCAGGAAAGTTTTTTGGAACTTTTTATTAAGACTTTTTAGAATTTTTTCGAGTATGCAGATTTGTAGCCCAATAAATTTTAGTATCAAAAAATTGCAAGCTTGAAGTTGTTTAAAAACGGGTTGAGTTTTTTGTCGAAGGTGTTTAACATTTTTTCCATACAAAGTATTTTCGAACCTTTTTTTGGTGGAAGAAAATGCGTGAAAAAAATTCCAAAAATCAACGGTAAATCCTAGCTACTTTAGACTTACACCTTATTGTACTAAAATTGCGTGCTCTAAAAATCTGATTAAAAAGTTGCAAATCTGGATGAACTTTCCTGAGTTATGCACAAATTTTAGAGATTATAAAAAAAAATAGTGGAAAAAAATTGTTACCCGTATTATGAATAATTCTATGTTAATACTTTTTCCGGCAACGTTTGTCCATCAAATTGGGTGTAGATTGACCAAGCGGCTGAGATGTACATAACTATGTAGATACACTTCTTATGATAAGTAAGCGTCGCACAGTGGGACGTCCCCATATACATTCATAAGCTGCGGCCAAAAGTAGTAACCGTACTGGATATTCGCTGAAATTTCGTATATGCGATGTTCGATATTTAGGAATGAAGAAATGTGGAAAATGGTAAAATTCAACGCGCTACCACGCCCACAGCTCTTGTGGGCGNCAGAATTTTCCAACTTGGAAGATAATAAAAAATTTCTTATTACGGCGCCCACCTTCTACACAACTATTTTGGCTTCAAGTACTAAATTTTTTGAACTTTGGAGAAAATGAGCAGGAACATTTATTTTATTTCTAAGGAAGTTCCTATTTCTTCACTTAAAAACATACAAAATTATGTGCACTATATGTATTTATACTGAAACTTTCAATTTTACCTACATTTTATACAACAAAAGCTGAGCTAAGGAAAGCAGGACTCTTGCCATAGAAAACGGATCTCGTCCAGAGAAGCGTCCATTTTTGGCTGAATATTGAATGTGATTAATAGATTGGCGAATGTCAAAGTAAACTATTTTATACATTTCAAACGATTTATAAAAATTTAAAGCAATGCTTGACCACAGATATGTATATTCAAAAACTGCTCATCTATCAGATTGGCTTTTTATATATGCGCACAAGTGGAAAAATTAATTCAAATTACTTGCGACAAAATCAAAATTTTTTTTTACAAATTTATTTTTTCGCATTGTTCCTACTTTAAGGTCGTGTTATGATTGCAAATATGCATTTCTATGAAACATTTTTTTTTTTTGGTTTGGGTTAGCTGGATATTTGGGTACATATCTGCGTAATTACTGTTTCAGAATTCGCTAACCCGTTTTTACTGTTGTTGTTGTAGCAGCATACAAGTTTTCGAAAGAGTGTTGCTGGAGTGACAGTCCTTGGCCAAATATAAAACGGGGTCGTTCCGGTTACGTAGACCCGACTGTCGTGGGAACGACCCGTTTTTACTACTTTTGGCCGCTGTAGTCCTATTGGGTGCCACCCCTATGGGTGGGAAACGAAGTCCGCCTAGGAACACAATGGACCTTTCTTTCTGGGATGACGTTTAAAAGTAGTGTATTGTTATACCATCAATGCCTGATGAACGACTTAAAACCTCACGGAGGTACCATGTTCTCCACCCACTACCTATCCGCCGCGGCAATGCCAAAAACGGATATTTCCTACGGTAGAAACCGGTACAGAAGGACTTGACTACATGAAACTGAATGCTATACGAAAAAGGTATTTTTACATTTTATGACGAATCTTCGAGTTCAAAAGTTACTAATTGAAAGATAAAACTGAAAGTACCTTACATTTTCGGCTTTTTACGGGCTCACATGTAAAATATCAGAAGTATCACTAAATAGAATTCGGTAGGACGTCTCATTTCCTCCCTCTGAATTGGACTCGGCGTCGCCTAAACTGCAGCCTGCTAAGGGCAAGACACTCATAGAGAATATGCTCCACAAACCCTTTGTTCGTTCGGTATCCCGTGCAAGTTTTGTCATTAGTTAAATCTAATTTAAGGGCATGTAAAACCATCAGCGTCCTGTAGGTACAAAGTACCCCAGCGTTCTCCCTTTTAAGACATAAAGGAAATTTTGTTTATTATTATAGCTTGCCGGCTCGTTCAGAGAATTTGCGAGTCCTTCGCCCTTCTCGTTGCCAGTAAATTCATGTGTTCATTTATTAGCTCAACATGGTGCCATAATAATGATTCCAGTATCTTCATCTATGTACATATATTGTAATTATCAATCCTTACTAATATTATAAATCCGAAAGTGAGTTTGTTTGTTTGCTGCGCTTTTACGCTTTAACTACCCAACCGATTTTGATGAAATTTTGTGCACTGCTGTCATTTACCCCAACTTAAAGTATAGGATAAATTTAATCTCGATTAGACAAGAGGGCGTGGCACCTCTCATACAAACAGAATTTTTCATACTGAATTTCTCAGGAAATATTTTTGATAGATTACTGGAACTTGGTATGGAGATATAAAAAATCATTGTGTACTCATGGATGAGGGCTCTCACCTTTTAAAATAATCAAAATTCAACTTCAACTAAGGGAGTTATTTATTTGAAAATTATATTAAAAAATGGGTGTCAAGAGGTTTAAAAAAGCTGTATCTCGAATATATTTTGAAAAGGGTTGCCACCTATTTGACAAGCCAAATTTAAATTAACTATACGCAAGCTATCTAAAGAATTAAAATATGGTTGTCTAACGAAATATTGTTAAGAAACCTTTAGTTCGAAAGTTTTGAATAATATTTAAGTCTTTCACAAGGGATGCCACCTTTTCAAAAACTAAATTCAATTATTTTAAATTAAATATTACAGTAAAAGGTGGGCAATGGTTCTGGCAGTTGATTTATCGGTGGTGATTTGAGATTTATCCCAGCCAAACTCAACCCTGGTGTCTCCGAATGAAGCTTTAAGAAAGTTTTAGTTTGAAAAAATTTTGAAGATTGTTAAACAAATTTTAAACCCCCTGCTTTTTAAAAGAGTTTTATTGAAATAAATTTTACTCAATGTAGCACTTTGAAATTTCATACACTCAGCGAAGCGGGTGAGGGCGATCTAGTCCTTACTAATATTATAAATCCGAAAGTGAGTTTGTTTGTTTGCTTNCCTCGATTAGACAAGGGGGCGTGGCACCTCCCATATAAACGGAATTTTTCATACTGCATTTCTCAGGAAATATTTTTGATAGATTACTGGAACTTGGTACGGAGATATATAAAATCATTATCAACTCATGGATGAGGGCTGAATATATTTTGAAAAGGGTTGCCACCTGTTTGAAAGGTCAAATTTAAATTGATTATACACAACTTATCTGAAGAATTAAAATATAGTTGTCTAACGAAATATTGTTAAAAAACCTTTAGTTTGAAAGTTTTGAATAATATTTAAGTCTTTCACTGGCAAATCACGTCCATTGGGCCAATCGTAACACATAAAAGTTCAATGGCGCAACAGTTCGATTTAATCTGACATTCACGGCACCTTTTCTAACTTGGCGATTATTCGTAATGACTTCAGCGCCATCTGGCAGCCCTTTTTGGCAATAGTATTGCCTTTAATGTTACCAATAAACATTTGGAATATTAGCCAAAGTGGATCATAAATAAGATTTTTAGTAATAACTTCACTCCAGCGCCAACTGGCGGATGAAATTTTGAAACTACACTCTCCAGAGAGCCACTCAAAAGTACACAATAAACTTCGTTAAAATCGGTCCGAGCATTTAGAAGGATTTCACTCACCAACACACTGACAGAAGAATTATATATAAACTTTTTTGCGGCGCCATGTCTCCTTTTCAAATAGCCCATTTTTCTCCATGAGTATAAGATTGATTTCATATATTGCCGTACCAAGTTCCAGTATTCCACCATGAACACTTCCAGAGATATGCAGTATGAAAAAATCGGTTTGTATGGGAAGTACCACGCCCCTTCATATATCAAAATTTTTTTTAGCCTAGCATTCTTGGGACGTCTGAAGCAGGTGTCCGAAATTTAAAAAAAAAATCGGTTCGGCCGTT